AGGAAAAGTTTAGAACATAATAAATAGTTGGGTGACCATTTTGTAACTTTTAATAGTCAAGGGACTCAACAAAGCAACACTCTATAGTCGAATGATCATTTTGTAATTTTTAATTGTCGATGGACTTAACAAAATAATATCCCATAATCGAGGGTCATTTATGTACTTTATCCTATATTTTTTAATATCTGGTTGTTAGTAAAGTGATTTATTTTTCACCCAACTATTGGACGGTCCATATTAACTGATTGCAAATATAATGGAGCAAATTTCTCAAGTTAAATGGTAGGCCTAGGTCTCTCACATGCAACGGCCACTTGTCCATGGCCAAGTCAAGTTTGTGGTCCAATTATTTAGGTTCGATTTTAGTTTGGGCAACGGCACTTAATTCCCGTTAATTAGGCTTTTTTTAAAGGGTAAAGTATAGTAATGGTCACTGAACATTTCAGAAGCTTGCATTTAGGTCCCCCAACATTTAAAACTTGCAATACAGTCCCCCAACATTTATTCCGTTTGCAATATGGTCCCCCAACTTAAACCACAGTTAGAAAATTAGGATAAATTATATAAATGGTCATTAAACTTTTCAGTCACTTGAATTTAGGTCCCCCAACTTTTAAAACTTGCAAAACAATCATCAATTTCATTCTAAACCCCAATTTCCAAAGTAATTCAATTTTATTCTAAACCCTAAATTCCAAAATACTTAAATTAAATTCAATTATGTCAAAGTTATTATTATTTAATTTCATCTTATTTCATGTGATACGTATTTTTTATATAAATATAATAGTATAATTCTTATCTGTTGAAGAAATTTTTTAATTAAAAAAAGTAGTTAGGATATAAAAGAGGTTGAAAATAATTCAAATTTTAAATTTATAAAATGTTATTTTGACGTATAAATAAAAGTGTAAACTACTCGGTTGACAACTTAACTATCTAGCCCTTTTTACTTTTGTCATCGATCTTTTAAATTTATCAATCATACCACATAATTATTTAACTGTTTCAACTAAGCCACTAGTCATTACTAATTGATAAAAATGATGATGTGGCAGTTAAAAGGAATTGACATTATTATACATTCAGTCTTTATTATTTATATAATCAATTTGGTCCTAAATTAAATAAAATTTAATAAATTAATCATTTAATTAGGATCTTACATGTGTTAGCACATGATCATGACACGTGTCATTGGTGACACGTGTTACCACCTAATTATTTATATATGCTATCAATTTGGTCCTAAATTAAATAAAATTTAATAAATTAATCATTTAATCAGGATCTGACATGTGTTAACACATGATCATGATATGTGTTATTGGTGACACATGTCACCTCCTAATTAGAAGAAAATTAAGTTACAAAGAAGTAAAATTTGGGTCTTGGGCAAACTCAAACCTGAGTCACGCAAATGAAAGATATAGGGTGGAGCCATTAAGCTAACACCATCGTTTGTGTTAAGAGATATACAATAATACATATACTAATAGTATGACCAATGCCAAAAAAAAATATAATGTAAAATGGAAATAATGAGATTTGAACTTCGGCAAAAAATTTGAAAGCAATAAATGATGGGAAAATATTATATTTTTACAATAAAAAAATATTATATTTGATAAATTGTTTGATAGATTTAATATTTTTTAAATATTAGTTGATACAATATTTTAAAAGAATAAATTTAAGATTTATATATTTTTAAACTAAATTTAATAATTATATTTTTCATATTTATAATTCATGATTATATATATAATCTTAAGTTGAGTATTTCTAATATAATTAATAATTTTAATTTCTTATTAAAAATAAAATATTCAAAAATATAAATGATTCATACATTAATATATGAATATATTTTTATTTATACATCTAAATATAAATATACATTTATATAAATATATTTTTATTCGTTGTGTCTGTGCCTTGAACTCTTTCTTCAAGCCTATATTACCTTAAATTGAAGTATTTTAGAATTTAATTGAAGTATTTTAGAATTTAGGGTTTAGAATAAAATTGAATTACTTTGGAAATTGGGGTTTAGAATGAAATTGATGACTGTTTTGCAAGTTTTAAAAGTTGGGGGACCGAAATTCAAGTGACTGAAAAGTTCAATGACCGTTTATATAATTTATCCTAATTTTCTAACTGTGGTTTAAGTTGGGGGACCATATTGCAAATGGAATAAATGTTGGGGGACTGTATTGCAAGTTTTAAATGTTGGGGGACCTAAATGCAAGTTTCAGAAATGTTCAGTGACCATTACTATACTTTACCCTTTTTTTAATTATTTTTTAGCTTTAAAATTAAATAAAACAAAATTCTTAGAAAAGAGAAGTTTGGGATATAATCATGGTTTTCAGAACCGGATCGGTTAGCGAACCGGTCATGCTACCGGTCGAACCGGTTCAACCGGTCGAATCGGTCCGACCGGTCGGAAGAACCGGCCGACGTCATAATTATTTAAAAAATTAAATAAAAATACCAAAAATATTTAATAAAAAATAATTTTTTATATCACAAGTCATATTCAAAGCAAGTCATAACATATATAAGTTAAAAACCATAAAATAAATATGAAACAAAATGATTCAAATTAACTACAACATAATATTTAAGGTAAAACATATTAAATAATAAATATAATTATATAATTATAATTAAAAAATAAATTTGGGATTAAAAAAATCATAACAAAATGATATTGTTTGGTTTATTTTTTTTAAAAAAACAATCCCACATGGGTAAGAAACATAGAAGAGCATCCCAAAAGTCTAAAGAGTAAAAATATGAGAACAAAACAATCTCACATTGCTAAGAAACATAGAAGCGCATCACAACTAACTTCTATAAATAATAGAGATAATTTGGCATTCAAAATCATAGAGCCTTTTGGTGAGCATTGAGTGAACTATTCTTTCACTTCAATCAAGCTCGAATTTTAGGCTTCAATCGAGCTTCTAATTTTTTTTTTGAGTTCAAGCCTTTTTGAGTTCAAGTTTCAATATTATATTTTGAGTTTGAGTTGAACTTGATAATTTTTAGCTTGTGAGTTTGAGTTGAGTTGAGCTTACTTTTAAAGTTTTCAAGTTCGAGTCGAACTCAGCAATACTCGAGTTCGACTTGGCTCGTTTAACAAACGACGTTGTTTGGTTTAATTTTTAAAAAAAAAAAACAAAAATCCCGGTTTTTCTCAGTTTTTTCTAGTTTTCAGTCGGTTCGGTTCGAACGGTTCAGCGGTTCTGGCCGGTTCACTAATAGCGGTTCAACCGATTTAAATTGAATCGGATTAAGCAACAGTTCTCGATTGAACCGGTTGAACCGACCGGTCCGGTCCAGTTTTCAAAACAGAGGATATAATTCAAACTTTCACGCCATGTGGTCCATGGTAATATAACCATAATTATAATATAATATGTACATAAATTTAAAATTTTGTCAAAATTCATACTATAATTATATAATAGGGTAAAGTACACAAATGGTCATCAACTATAGGGTACTATTTTATTAAGTCCCTCAACTATTAAAAGTTACAAAATGGTCCTCTGACTATAGAGTGTTGCTTTGTTGAGTTCCTCTATTATTAAAAGTTACAAAATGGTCACCCGACTATTCATTATGTTTCAAACTAGTCTTTTTCGTTAAAAAATTGATGGTCTTCTGAGCTAAACATTAACCTGCTAACGGTGATATGATAAAATATGATCTCAGAATCTCAAACGATTATTGTATCCCGGTCATCATGTTAATGTCTAACTTAGATAACTGCCAATTTTTAATAAAAATGGATGAGTTTAGAACATACTAGATAGTCGGGTGATCATTTTGCAACTTTTAATAGTCGAATGACTTACAAAATAACATTCTATAGTTGAATGACCATTTTGTAACTTTTAATAGTCAAGTGATTTAATAAAGTAGTACCCTAAAGTCGGGGGACCATTTGTGTATTTTACCCTATATAATATTAGTGGTTCGAATATTTATAAATTTTATGATACTCATGAATTTTTATTTTAAAATTTAAATATGTTTATTATACAATTAAATTATGATAATTCATCTTTGAAGTAAATAAAAGATAAAATAGTTTAGGTACCATTGAGTCTTAGCGTTTGTATCACTTTTATTATTGAATTTTAAATTATGATAATTCATATTTGAACTAAATAAAAAATAATTATGCCGTGGACAAGATTAATATTAAAGTATTCTCATTTCACTCCTATTTCTCCAAAAATTGGTTTTTCTCAAAATCGATGAAAATATATTTAAATGTTTAACGTAGTAATACTTTAATCTCCTACAATTACTATTTAATACGATTAGTTTAGAAGTATGTTGTTCATCTTCTCAGAACAACTTATCACTGTTCGGATTTTTTAATAAAAAATAATATTTTTTTATAAAAATTACATTATTATCCTCGAGTATCATCAGGTCGAAATTTTTTAACCTTTTACCCCAACCAGACCCAAGCCCACACCTTAAAACAATAGTCCAACCCCAAATTTATTTTTAAAAATTAAAACCTCATCGAATTAGATCAGATTAAAACCCATCGAATTCAAATTAAATTATCGTAACTAGTGATACTTGCAATAACAAATCAAACAATGATTTCTTCTTCCCTCATCAATGGGAAGCAAGTACCATCACAAATACAAGTATAGAATAGGGGCGGATGCACTAAACCCCCACGAGTCAAGTATATTCCATTATTTAAAAAAAATATAGTATAATATATTTAAAAAAATGGAAAAAATAAAATTTTTGCATCCTATTATTTAAGAAAAGAAAATTAAAATTTTAAACTCCCACTTATAAATTTCTAAATCTGTGACTGATATAGAATGAAGAAATCTTAAACACAAACCACCATATATATATATATATATATATATATATAATATCAGCATATGGTTACAGATTAAACCCTTAACTTTATAAAAGCATCTACAGGTGCTTTCAAAAAAATTGAAAAAAAAATAAAAAAACTTAAATCTATCCTGCAAGATGATTAAAATCAATCTTTTAATCTCCAGCATCTAATCTCTTCTCCATCCAGTCGATTATGTCCTGCCCTATCTCCTCACATTCCGGCTCAAACAGAAGGTCATGTAAGAAGCCATCGTAGAGCCTTATGTCTTTGAACTTAGAGGCTGCCTCGTTGTATAAATCCTGGGAGGCGAGTGGATCGGTGACTTTGTCCGCGGTTCCATGCAGAACAAAGAACGGGACGGTAACAGACTTGAAGTTTCGCGTCAAGTGCGACGAAATACATAGTATTTCGTGCCCCGTTCGGACCCTTATAGGACCGGTGTAGACCAAGGGATCGGAGTACTTGGCCAATAGTGCCGCGGGGTCCCTCGAGACCGGGATACCCCTCTTGTTTGCACCTTTGAACTGGAGCTTGGGAACAACCAGAGAAAATAGGGGAGCAACAGCCTGCATATGTTACCAAATACCATGACTATATACAGTAACATCATTCAATAGAAAAGGGTTATACAAAACTAAAGAAACTCAAACATCTCGACTATGAGTCCGGCCTAAATTATAAACAAATAACAAGAAGTAGCAACTCACCTTAACGATTGGGTGTGCTGGCCTAACACGCAAAGCTGGAGATGTCAGCACAATTCCCTCCACCATTTCTTCAATATGTGGATATGAAGCTGCCTGCAATTTTGAACCTTATTAACTCAGCAGTTCAAAGTATCTTAAGGACGACGACTAATGGACGTGTCAAGCAAGTCTCATTTCCAAACATAAATTAGTTACTTAAAACTAATATATAGATACACTACCTTTAAAACCACAGCTCCACCAGTTGAGTGACCAAAAAGGAAGCAAGGTACACCTGGGTTCTCTGCTTTTATCTTTTCCAAGAAAAACCCCTGAAAAAAAGGAAGCATAGTTTACCATACTACTCCGATTCAGAAGTGAATGTCAGATACAAATATATATCGTACACAGGTATAATTAGACTTTTCAAAGGTTGTTGATGTATTTCTAAGAGAAATGAAAATTTTGAGCAATATAGGTTTATTATCCATTGCGAATAGATCTCAAGTGCAGAATAAAAGGAGAACCAGAACCCCAAGGAGAACTTACTGTATCTGCAACAACATGATCAAGTGAAGGAACGTATCCATGCAATCCATCACTGCCACCATGGCCTATATAGAAATTTACTTCATTACTACAAATCAAAGGAAAAGAAATGGAATAAACAACACTAGTGTCAAATTATGTACCTATCCAGTCCATAGCATATACACCATAGTGGCAAGAAGTTAGTTGTTTTGCAAATTTAGCATATCTTCCACTGTAAATGAGCATCCCCCCATGAAACAGAATATGAGATTCTTAAAAGGAAAACCAGATGTTAATAGGGTCAATTAATCGACTAATGTTTTACCTGTGCTCATTCAGACCATGTATGATGATCAAAATTCTCCTAGAAAAGCAAATATAATGAAGAATTAGTACAAGAAACTATAACGCAACAGACTCTCGGTGTCATATTAAAATCTCATCATATTTGGATTCGAGCCAATTCGATTCTCTAAATAGTGATAGAGACGTTACTTAAAACACATCAAACTCTCTAACATGCTATAGTCAAGATTACGTATTTGTATTATATATACTATTATTGCATATCAATCCAGAAGAATTTTCATTGCTAAAGAAAGCAAAGAATCATTCGCATTAGTCATTACACAAAACTATCTCTAAAACTCAAAATAAACTGCGAGTGAAGAAAATTAAATGTTTTACTTCAATTCATCGACGGCGGGGAGCCAGGAGCGGCAAAACAAGGCGTTTCTTCGAACCCCAAGAAACAGGGACGTGCTCCAACGACACCTAATCTCTCCGTTGTCGTTTTGGAACCCCATGTCCCACCCCTCTGCTAAGGCTCTCCTTGTCATGGTGTCCTCCTCTTCCCGCCTCCATACAGACCTCCGCCTCGCGGTTTTATCCGGCAATTGAGGCGCCTCGACCGCATCTTCAACCGCCGTCTGACGATGGCGGCGACGAGGGAAGAGGAGGAGGAGGAGGTACAAGATTGCTGATTGAAGGAAAACGAGCGGTGTTCTTAGCGTTCTTATGATCGGGATTATGCGATTGCTCGCTCCCGATGTCAATTGCTCCATCTCCCCCGCCGTTGACATGGCAGAGAAGGCAATAAATAAATTAAACAAATAAAATTAAAGATTTTTAACAATTGATATTATGGAAATTAGTATTACGTATATGAAATGAAGGAGAAGACAGAAAGTAAATAAGACGATAATTTCGGAATTCAGTTGAGATATTTATAGCACGCGGGTGTGGTTTTCAGACAAGGAAAAAGACCGGAAATTAACTGCAGTATGTGACGTGGACGTGTGCGATTGAGCTATGGATATCATTTTTGATTTTCTATGCACTGTAACGGTGCTGATGTGGCGCGTGCTCTTCTTTGTTTGAATATGGAAAGTGTAAATGTTATAGAAATAAAACATGGAAAATTACACGTTAAGCACCTACATTATTACTTTTAGTCCGTTTTAGCACCTAAACTTTCAATTTTTTCAAAACCATACCTAAACTTCAAATTTTTCATTTTAGTGCCCGTTCAAAATGTAACGTTAAATTGTGAAAATAAAATAAAATTTTGGGTACTAAAACAGGTCAAAAATGGTAGTTTAGGTACTAAAAAACTTTAATTTTTAAACAACATACTAAAATGAAACAGAAATTACACTTTAGGTATGATTTGAAGAAATTGAAAGTTAAGGTACTAAACGAAATCAAAATTTATAGATTAGGTACTATATACGTAGTTTATCCCTAAAAAAGTTCAGGCTCACGGAATTCAATAATTCGCGTAGACAGCTTGCTAACTAAGCTTCGAGCCATTCGAGTTTGAATGGCTTATAGTTAGCGCGAATAATTCGAGGAGAAATTTTGTCAGCAATTTGAAGGAATCTTTGACATTTATTTTTAATTAAGTATAATTAACGTTTAATTTAATTCCCACAAATCAAGTTACATCCGTAGTAAAGAAATTGTTATTATATTTTAAGATTCGAGTTCGAATATCATAGACGTCAAGTATATGAGTGTTCAATGTTAAAATGTTATAATTATCTTTAAACATATATTATATTTTACTTACCCGAGATTAGTAAAAAATAATAATAATTCCCATGAATTCTATATTGGCGCGTGAACCATACTTGATTGTAACATATTTTCATACAAAGATTATCATACTATGTTTATGATGAGTTATTGTTCACATTTGAGGTAAAAAATTATGTTTGTTATTTCAAAGAATTTGATATTTGTTATATGTAATCATAGTTCAACTGTGGGGTGATTGAGTTGTGATTATCTTTAGGGTGTGTTTGGTTCACGGAATGTAAGATTACCAGTGAGAATAAAAGACTATCATGGAATATGATTACTGGGAATGTTATATTTTGTGTTTGGTTGGTTTAGCAAGAATGTAAGATTACCGTGTTTGATTAAAGGAATAAAAGATTATTGGAATGTATATTTACCAAATTGTCTTTATTATATATTTGTATAATATTACAAGTTGTAAAATATTATATATTTTCTTTAAAAAATTAATTTCATATATTTATAATTTTTTTTACAAAATTAAAAATATAAAAAGGTTTAATGAAAGGGTAAAATTTTATTTTAACCCCTGAACTTCATATAAAATTTTAATTATTTTTTTTTTGTAAATCTAAAATAATTTAAGGATAAATTTGTAATTTAACCTTCGTAGAATTTTTATTATTCAATGACAGAAGAATGATATTTTTGAAAAAAAAAATAATTTAAGGGCATTTTAGTCCAAAATGCCGGTAATGTTACAATACCTAAGGGAATGGAGGTAATGACATTACCAGTAATATACCCCAAAAAATCCACTATTGGTAATAAAACATTACCGGGAATGACATTCCCGACCAAACCAAACGGGGGAATGTGGATTCCATTCCCGGGGAATCCCACATTCCCCAATCCAAATGCCACCTTAGGGTATACTACTTATTTAGTATCTAAACTTTTATTTTTTTAAATCATACCAAAATTTTATTTTATTTTAGTACATCGACATTAAAAACTTAATGCGTTTAGTATAAACTATCAGTTTTAGTCCGTTTTAGTACCTAAACATTCATTTTTTTCAAAACTTAACGTTAAATTTTGAACGGATACTAAAATAAAGCAAAAACTAAACCTTAGGTATTATTTTGAAAAATTGAAAGTTGAGATACTAAAATAGACCTAAGCTAATAGTTTAGGTATTAAATGTATAATTTATCCTTATATTTAATTAAAAAATAGAGTTGTGATAATCTTTGCTACAATAGTATTTTTTAGTTTTTGAAATTATTTTAAAAAAATATATCATTCCTTAAATTTTAGGGTAAACTATTCATTTATTATATAAAACTATCAGTTTTAGTTCGTTTTAGTACCTAAACTTTTAATTTTTTCAAAACCATACCAAATGTTTAGTTTTTGTTTCATTTTAGTACCCGTCATTAAAAACTTAGCGCATATAGTACCTAAACTATCAGTTTTGGTCCTTTTTAGTATCTAAACTTTCAAAAAAATTTCATAACTTAATATTAAATTTTGAATGGGTGTACTACAATGAAACAAAAATTAAACTTTGAGTATGATTTTGAAAAAAAATGAAAGTTTAGATACTAAAATGGAACAAAACTGATAGTTTATGTACTAAATGCATTGTTTACCCTAAATTTCATTATAAGAAAAAAGAAATGTACGTTATAAAAGTATTTAATAATAATTGAATAATAAATGGTATCTTTAGACATAAAACTGTTGCTTTTAACTCAATTCCCTAAATAAATTTATTGTATCTTTATTTTCTTATTTTTAATATATTTCCTTAATTAAGTCAGGAAAACACACCACAATCGCACTCAAATTTGTTTAATAAATTTCTAAATTTGATTAAATCAATTAATGAAAAATAACTGATTTAATTAATGATAAATACACAATCGGTCCCCTGACTATAGGATAATATTTTATTGAGTCCCTTGACTATTTAAAGTTACAAAATGATCTCCGATTATAGGAAGTTGCTTTGTCGAGTCCTCCGACTATTAAAAATTATAAAATGGTCACCCGACTGTTAATTATGTTCCAAACTTGTCCTTTTTCATTAAAATTTTGACGGCAATCCGAGTCGTACGTTAACATGTTGACTAAGATATGATAAAACATGATCTCATAATCTCAAATGACTATCATATCTCATTCAACATGTTGACGTCCAGACGACCGTTAAATTTTTAGTGAAAAATGACGAGTTTGGAACATAATGAAAAGTCGAGTGAGCATTTTGTAACTTTTAATAGTCGAGAGACTCAATTACAAAGCAACTCCCTACAGTCGAGGGATCATTTTATAACTTTAAATTGTCAAGGGACTCAATAAAGCGTTATCCTATAGTCGGAAGACCTTTATCCTTGAATTAATTAAATTTCTTTGAGTAAAAAGAGGGTCGACAATAATATTATGTGAACAAAAATGTCTGAGGAAATGCAACAATGTTCCCGAAAGCAGCATATAACTTCGAAGCACTTTAGACAAAATTATTAAAGTGTTAATCTCCACTTATTATGTTTGTTTTGTTTTTTTAGGGCAAAAGGAAGCGATACATGAATGGACCAAAATCAAGTTGCCATCCACTTATGGTGACAACAGCATTCTGTTCTCCCCCTTTGCCCCAACTTTTTAGTGACAGTGTCGGGAGTGTAACAAAAAGAGCCTCAATAATTATCTTCATTAATAAAAGAAATAGCGAACAAAATAAAAATTATTTTTTTATTGAGTTACGGTGATTATAATATAATTTTATTAATAAACGTTTAATCAATTATGATATAGTTATTAGTGTTCGAGTCTAAAACCTCTAATATTAACAATTATTTTTATTGAGGTAATTTGATTCGTGTAAAATAAAAATCGTTTTAAATGGTAATTGCTGGTAGGGGTTAGCATTCGATCAAGTCGAGTAAAAATTTTTTGAGTTATTCGAGTTGACGAGTCGTATTTTACAACTCGAGCTTAACTTGAAATTTATTTGAGTCGAGCTATTCGAATTTCTATACTAATTTTATTATAATTATTTATAATACTGTGTCAAGGAATTGTTCCAATTCATTGACTTTCTCTAACCATGTAATATATATATATATATATATATAATAATATTTTTTTCACATTATAATGTTATTTAATATATCGAATGCAATCTAAAATTATGAAATATATTTATAATATCATATTTTAAAGAAAGTATTCTGAGGTAAAATATTGATGAGAATATGAAGGAGTTAAAGAATTGATATTAAAAAGATCAAATTGATTAAAATGCAAAGTTAATGGACTAAATAAAAAGAGAGAACATTTTAATTAAAAAAAAATTGAAGTTACATAGGTATTCTACTGTGGTATATGTGCATGTGATTCAAATTTGATAAAAAAAACTTAAAATAAAGGATGACTTGAAGGAATAAGAAAATTATGAAAAATTAGAAATTAAATTGAAAAACAAAAATTTTGTTATCGAAAAGGGAATTGAAAGTACATATGTATTCTACGATGGTTTAGGAGCAAGTGGTTCAAATTTGGTAAATATGGACTTAAAATGAATAAGGAATTGAATAAATAATAATCAAATACTAAATCGTAAAACTACCAAAATACTTAGTCAAATTTTTAGTTTTTCGAGTAATTTGAAATTCCAAAATTTTAACTCAACTTTAACTCGAAAACCGAATTATTAATTCGAGTTGACTCGAATAACTCAAAATTGAAAAAAAAAATTATTCGAATTTTACTCACTCCTAATTGTTGGTTCGATTTGATTTTTATTTAGTTTCTATTTAAATATATTTTATTTGATTTTTTACTATAAAAATCAGAAACTAGTGAACAACTTTTCCTTTGAATTTTGCTTTGGCCAATTAAATTCCAAATTAAATTTGAATGGTTAAGAATGAAAGCTTTGAAAACAAATAAAAGTAGCAATTGACTTCCTCACATTATCCAATGATTTTTGTTTGATAATATATGGATTCTATAAGCAATGGCTTAGGTCCATTACTAACCAAATAAAGTTATGCCAACATGTAATTTTCAGATAGGGGCTTCATTTATTTTATTATTTTAAGAGAAAAGAAGAC